CACTCACATACAAGTATGTAAGTACATAAGTTGTGGCCTATGCACTGCACATGATAAACACTGGAACCCATGCCCTACCTCAAACTTGACTGGTCTGAAAACCACATAACTGGAATGAATCGGCCGGGAGTTGATCATCCACACCCCCGGACCGTCTCATCCCTGGGTCGGATTTCGGTAACTCAAGCAGCAAAGAAGCTCATCTCATCGTCCAGCCTCCCCAACCCTGCTCATTCTGCGGCTACTTACTAATTTCCCTCCAGTCCACTGGGTGTGTTGCTGTTTTATCTCTTTTCTACTGCCATTTTATTTTTTTAAGGCATTCTTCCTGCACTGTTCTACAGCACTGTATTAATGTCAACTTGTGCTTATGCATGTCACTGTTGCACAATGACTTTCATTACTTTGGATTGGTTTGTTTGGGGTCAGCTAAAATAGCCTGGCTCTAGTACTCGCTCTGCTTAGTTGGAATAATGTCTAGCCTTAACTTGATTCACTCTAAAGCCAAGCTATGGTTTTAGTTTTCTTGATGTTGGATGTCTACAAATGCATGGAGAGCTTTGCATGTATCACTATAAACTCCATTCACGGGTGATCCCTTTTATTTTAAGCTCAAAATAAGCTTTTGTGTGGTTGTTTGTCTCACCATAGTTGATAGTGATTGCATATACAGGAAGTTGGCTGCTTTCCTTTTTTTTGCACCAAAAAAAAATCTTTTTTCTGGGTGAATTTAGATCAGATGACATGTAGGAATAAAAATCACGTTAAATATACACAGTTGCTCTCTGCACAAATTTCCCTACCTTTGCCCCAGCCACCACCCCCAGCCACCTCACCTTGGGTCACTATTTTCTGGTGTTATAAAAATACTGAGGCTACCCTTCTGATTACTTTGCAGACTGTATCTGTCACTGCTGCTCTGCTTTTCACAATGTCAGGCTGTTACTTGTTCAAAAATTTTTTTTTTTTAGTCTTCTAGGCAACTGGCAGACCCATAGGGCTTTGCTTCACAATGCTTATGCTATTCCTTCAGCAAGTATGAGCCTCTGATGGCCACCCCTTTCTTTCTACACCCTTCTGCTTGTACTCACACTGCACTGCTGTCACTGTCCTGCTGCCTGTGATCTGTTTTGATAACCTCACGCTACTGTAATCTTCCTTGCTGCTACTTCTCACACACAGGCTTCACTGCACTACCGCACCCTCACCGCCGCGATCACTCAGCAAACACCAGAACCTACTGTGACATCGTCAAACCTCACGGCGCTGCGGTCACCCCACCGAAGCTGACCTGTGCTGACCTCCCGCCCAGGAGCCTTGGGCAGCAGGCGCTGAGCCCCCAGCTTCGCCGGCTTGAGCAACACCAGAGACAGCTGTTCGAGTTGCAGCAACGCAGGGAGCAACAGAGTAGGCCGCTGGAGGAGGCGGAGCAGGAGAGGAAGACGAGGGAGGAAGAGGAGCAGAGGAAGAAGAAGGAGGAAGCAGAGGAAGAAATTAAGAGGAATAAAGAGGAGGTGGAGAGGAAAGTGCAAAAGCAGGAAGAGGAGTGTAAGCAGAGGAGAGACCTTGAACTGCAGCTGCAGCAGCAAGAGCAGGAAATGAAGCAAAGACAGCAGATCCTGCAGTGGCAACAAGAGCTGCAACAGTCTAATAAAGGTCAGACAGCGCTGCTGTCCCCTTCCTCTGGCCTCTGCACCATCTACGAAGGCCTGGAGAATAGTGATGAAGAGGAGGCTGACGGTAAAGAAGAGGGAATAAAGGAGCTCAACCGCACTAAAAAAGAGCCTAGACAAGAGACGACAAATCAAGGGAACGACTACTACTGTGACAGGGTGACATCAGATGAAGACAAACATCGAGACTCTTCACAGTCCACTGAGACCCCTCCTCCTCTCCCAGACTCCCCTCGGACACCCAGCAACCCCTCCCAGGACGGAGACGGCTCTTCCCCTTGCGCTCCCGAGTCTCCAGAGCGGCCTCTGCCCCTGGACCTGGACTGGGGGAAGAAAGTGGACATAGTCCAGCAGCTGATCAATCAGACCTTGCTGCTGAACAGAGATGGCTGCTCCTCCTTGCTGCTGCTGCCAGGGGGTTCAGGAGGCACACTGAGCCCCCTGGAGAGCAGCCTGTGGCCCAGTCTGCTGCCCCCACTCACCCCTCCCTCTGCCACAGTCACCTCTGTCAGCAGTTTCTCCCCAGAGGCCACAGGAAGCTCCCCACAGGGAGAGTGGACAGTGGTAGAGCTGGAGACTCATCACTGAGGGGTGGGGGTGTGTGCATGATTCAAGTTGCACACTTTAAACAAAATCTGCAGTACTGTTGAACATTAACACTCATACAGGGAAGATGACACAAATGCTGTCTATTTATACACACAGGAATTCAAGACTGGAGGCACACAACAAATTTACAGATGTGTGCAGAGGAGCCCACTATTTTCTTCTGGAGACTAGCTGGACAGACTGTTCATTTGGGCTGGGTGACATTTAAAAATTGCAATAATCAGAAGTATTCTCTTTGATATTAATATACATATATCTGTTAAAGAAGATCACTTAGTTGATGTCCATCACAGTGTACTTAAAGGTAAAGTGTGTTTTTAAACAGTCGTTCTCAAGTATTTCAGAAAAACAACCAGAGAGAAAGCTTTAATTGCTTTGTAGAGTTAGACGATGACGCATCGTCTGGTCGATAAATTATATTGATATGCAGCCCAGCCCTGTAGGTAGACCCATAAACGTAGATCAGTGGTCCCCATCCAACAAGGGCTCACAAGATAAATCTGAAGGGTCACAAGATGACTCGTAAAATACACTACTGACTGACTTTACCTAGGAGGGTTTTAAAAAGTATTCAAATGCAGCAATAATTACTCTACAGTTGATCTGGTCACAACCGGCAGACAGATGCAACCTTTGACGATGAGGCACAGACAGGTTTGTGTTAAGGAGTCATAAAGTCAAAATGTTGGAATGCTGATCTAGATTAACTTGAGAGAGACTGGGGATTTCTAAGTGTACTGTTAAAAACAAGCTCATACAACACAGACCAATGCTTGGTGGCGCTACAGTTAGTTTACAAGCATATACACTGTTTATTGGGGGATGCGGGGGGCAGAATGAAATCTTGCCCTGAACTAAGACTCTCACGTAGAGCTTTCCTGAGAACTACTGATAAATTTTGTACATACCAAAGGAGTGGATCAAGGTCACTGAAGCGGGTCACATTTGAATGAGCATTGGGATTTTAGAGTCCCTAGTTCTCCCTTATACATCCCTCTCTACTTTAGTTTAATTTGGATTCCCCCCCCCATTAATTATAAAATGAGAATACACTGGAGATGTCTTCCACTGAACAGTGATAAAATAACACTCCAAGATTTCTTCAATTGCACTTAATCAAATCCCTGAAGTCTTTTTTTAATTTGTATTAGTTCAGATATTGATATTTAGAGGCGTATAGAGACACTGGCTGGTTTAGTTAAGTCCTCTTTTACGACTTACTTTGGTGTCATTTATTTGCAAACTCAGACAAATGTATTGATTTAGAGTTGAGGATCATCACATGAGCTCAAGCATCACTACATGATCTCAGTCTGAGCCATTTGGATCTTAGTTCCTTACCAAAGGTCAGTACGACGGGTAAACATTTCACTAATGTGCACAGACCTGTCTCGACAGATTAACTTAATTGGTGATTATGAGAAGTACTGCTGAAGATGCCATTTATGTTTGTTAACTTTTTCCCATGTGTGAAGTCTTCCCTAGGTTCTCATGCTTGCATTTTGGATGTTATTCCAGTCACAAGCTATAGACAGATTTTACATAAGACAACGACTCACTCTGGGTTTTAAACCGATACTGCTGTGAGGGTCAGGAGTCACTTTATTGTGTGATCTGAGGAAGATTATTAAAAGGGGGGGGAAGCTGGGCGGGTCCAATATCAGGTTATTCTGAGTACGAACTATTATTGTTGAAAGTGTGTGTGTGTCTGTCTGTCTCTCTCGGTGGTTGTAAATGTTTTATATCTGTGCTGTGTGGTGTCAGTCTGTTGTCTGGATCCTGTGTGTGTGTGTGTGTGTGTGTGTGTGTGTTAGTCAATGTTTACGACGGTTATGTTGATCTTCACCATCACAGGTTTTAAGATACAATAGAAGTTTTGACAACATTCATTCCCACTCAAGCAGTTTGAATAATGCTTTTGTTATTTAATCAGTTAAATACAATAGAGGTATAACTTTCCGTATGTTGATCCGAGGAAAGAAAATTCCTTTTATCATCGCTCGCTAATTTGTGCACTCTCTTATCAAAGCCTATGTGTAGCAGCTGAAAAGCAAGCAGGTGTTGTGTATGTTTGCATTCCCGTACCTCCAGGCGGGACAAATTACGCTCACTGCATTTTTTTTTTTTTTTCTTTTGACAAAGCTGGACTTATTAAACGTGCTTTCTTAAACATGTCTGTTTTCGTAAGCACATGTATGTATATTGTTTTAAAAAGACTGTTCACTGTAATGATTTAGATTTAGAACTACAGTAGCCCTTTAAGAGTCCTATATAGATTTTTATTGAGTAGAAAATGAAGGATGTCTGTTGTAAACGGTAGATTTTATTCTTTTGTAAGTCATTTGCCGCCTTATTGGTTATGTCCAGTCAACAGAACTGAATGGTAAGGTCAAACTGAACACAGGATTGAACTAAGAGTGAAGAAATTATTTGTTACTTAGACTCGAGGTGAAGTCTCACATTTTGGATATTGAAAATGAAGTGAGGCCTATGTAAACTAATTTAAATGGCTTGATGAACCTGTTGAAGTAAATGGGCACTCGAACTTATGAAGCCCTAATCATGGCAGCTTTGTTTTAAAATGTAAAGTTGCCCTTGTTTGTTTGGACTTTCTGAAAAAGACTGAAATCTGTGACTTTGTAATTATTTCAGTGCAATGTTGTGTAAATAAAATGTTTTTAAGTAACTCTCCTGGACTTTTTTTACAGTACAGCAACAAAAAGCTTATTTATTTATTTTTTTTTAACAATTTTTACAAACTCTTAAAACCTTTGACACCTTATGACTGTAAAACCCAGAACAAAATAACATGCAACAAACATCAGCATTCAACAGACTCATCATCGTATACAGCATAAGACAATAAAACTTTTTTTTTTTTTTTTTTTAAACAATACTGGTCAGAGCACGTTATGAAAACAAGCCAAAAGCCCATCACTCCGGCTGAAAGTGTCACATTTTACAGTGTAGTGGTGCAATGGGTCTGCTCTGACGTCGAGACGCACATGAAACCGGATGTTCAACGTTGAATCTCACAAGCTCAACGTATTTGCTAAACAACTAGCTGGAAGATTTATCTGCACCGTCCTGAGAGATCTCAACTAGTCCGGTCTCTTCCTATCGACCATCAAGAATAAGTGTATCGCAGAGACAGAGGTCATATGTGCACATACTCCTCCCTGCAGGGCCGTCACACTGTTGTCTGGTGTGACAACAGCAGCTGCTGCAGGACGTCTGTAGCACTGCAGATGGACGGCTCATCGCTGCCCAGAAACAACAGCCTGTGATAATTGGCCTGAGGAACCTCGCACATGATCCTGCAACACACAGGAACATGTACGACCTAAGACCACTGCTGCTCTAGTTATCAGACATACTGTGATAGTGATGGCCTGTCCGTTACTTTTAACACTAGATAAATCTCTTAAAGTAGAAGCATGGACAGAAAAACGCATGAAGAAATGTAAATCAGTATACCAGTCATAGATGTCCTCTGTGTCGGGGTCAGGGTTCACCTGCACCCACTGCCCGATGGACCACATCCTCAACACGTCGGCGTGGGAGACACCTTTGCTATCCCTGTTGGCGTCTGTGTGTGTGTTGGGAATATCCTCGTAGCACAGGAAGTAACTGAATGAGATGGTGGGAATAAGATTAACCACACTGGTGTGTATTAGCAACAAAATGGGTTTGTCGTATCAGAGGAAAGACTTTAATTTAATCTGCTATCAAAAATGTAGAAAGAGAGAGTACAAAAAGAGGGTGGAGAATGTCATCTAGACTCACTACTCTGTGTCGCCAACTACCTCCCTCGTCTCATTCTCTCCACCCAGCTCTTCATCTGTCTGCTGACGCTCATCTCGGAGTCTCTCCACGTTCCAGCGCATACGTTTGTAAAGGCCAGTGTCAACCCGGGCCAGGTACGGCGTCAGCTTACAGTAGAAGAACGTGGTCATCCTCAGGCGACCAAGCTGACTCTGACCAATGCAGAAGTGAGACACACTGGGAATGCAAATGGGAGAGTCAGACAGCAAGACAATATGAAAATGGTTTGTAACAGCAGCACAGCATTCAGCCGGTAGAAGAAGAAAATGCAATAGAAGAATAAAAATCTAACAAAAAATACCAATATAAATGGTAGAAACAACATATGTTGCCAACAACATCAAGCCACCTGTACGAGTCAACGAATGGGATGTATTGATTTAATTTATTGTATTTATAATGTGGGAACTGCAAAGCCTTAAAGTGAGTACAGGCTTATGCAACTACACTAGGTGTTACAGGACAGAGCATTTAGTGGGGTATAGAAGTTTTGCTATCCTAGCTTAGCACAAACTCAAACTACAAGAGAATTAAAGCATTTCAAGGATCATCTATCAGCACAGAGGTTCAGACGGTCACCCAGCCAGGATCAGCTGTTTCAGCCAACACTTCCACAGCCTCTACAGCATGAAGCCCGACACGTGTTCCCTCTTAGACAATCTTCTTTTCCCTGATACATTAAAGGTTTTACTGTAACCATAGTAAGAACTGAAATTAGTATTAGTGTATTAGTATATTATAATTAACAGCTGTGCTGTGACGTATCTAGGGAACAATGAGGAAGATATACAAGGCAAAGACAGATAGCTGCCAAAAGGTATAACAACAAACATGAAGTTGATCCTCCGTGAAAAGAGGAATGGTTCAGGAAATGTTCTCAATGGAGAAATTGACCCATGTTTTGGGAGTTAAATGAAAGATCTTTTGACAGAAAATAGAAAGTGGCTCATTTACATGAAACCAAACGCTGCATGAGTTAATTAACCATTTAAATATGGAATCATTCAATGGATATATGTACGTCTGACTGCACCATGAAGACTTTTTGTTCTGTTATGTTGTGTATTAGTAAAAAAGTTTGTGTGTGTACCTGTTAGGCTCGGCCTCGTCCAAACAGAGGAGACTGTAGCTGGCGTACGTCAACACCAGCTGCTCCAACCTGTCACACAGCTGCTGAGAGAAGTCCAACAGCTGCACACGCTACACAAAGAGTAGACATTTGGAGTTAGCTTTTAGCTGCTACATTAATGCTTTCATTCAGTGAACACAGTAGCCCCCCCTCATTTTGTTCCAACAAGTGCATCTGGAACAGATCTTAATGATTCTGAACTACAACAAACCATATCGGACAAATTCACCAACCAACTGTTCGTTGCTTATTTCCCAGTCATCAGAGTGTGAATGGGTGGATGCGACATGTAGTGTAAAGCTCTTTGAGTTATTTTCAGTAGAAAGTACTTATGAAATCTGACCAAATAAAACCAAAACAAATGTCAGCATGATTACATACCAGTGAGAAAGTATGTCTTTCACTAAGTTGGGTGAACCAGCCCTTAAAAAAAATCCCTTTACCCTTGTGTAGATGTCAGAGGGTAGAGAGATATGTTGGCACATGGTGCTCCTAGTTGTGGATTCCAGGTGGTTAAAGTAAGGCTGACAGGTGTACAAGAAACTTGGCACTTCAGCAGCCAGACCCTCACTCTCTAGGTGACCCTGTCTGCAAAAACACACAATAAAATCATAAAATAGCAGAAATACCCAGATAACATTGGTGCATTATGAATAGCCAGGACCCTACCCACTGACAAGGCAGTCCTGTAAGTCATCTGCCTTTCTCATGAGGAACTGGAGCTGCAGTTGCATGGACTGGAGGCTCCTCTCCATACACCTGACCTCCACACAGCTGCAGGCCTCACACTCACAGCCGCAGGCCGCACGATCACCACAGGGTGGCGTCAGAGCAACGTCAACCAACGACGACAGCGGCTCCTCTGCCTCTGAATCACAAATTAATGTCCGCCATAGTTACAGAAAGACATTTATCTTTAGACTCCCCTATTCCCATTTGAAAATACAAAGAAGGGACAAATTAATTTAAAGCGGCGGTGTATGGATCGTGGTGGTTTGAGCAAATGCTGTAAAATCAAACGTGGGCTCACTAACGGCCAATCAGTGGTAACTCAAGTTATTGAGTAATATAAGGTAAAAATGCATGTTTTCACAGCATGCTGGGGACATTATAAGTTATTATATAAGTTATTTGGCCACCTTCTCCGGTGTTTTGAGGACTCTCCATGCAGTCGGACTCCTCGCCGCTGAAGTCCTCCTGCAGGCCCCCCAACGCATGTTGTTCTGCTGGTGAGTTGGACATGAGCTGGACCTCAACCTGAAGTTCAACATCTGTCATACTTTCTGCTGTAGATACGTTGGTATTTATTGGTGAAACCTGGTGAAAGTAAAACTGTCATAGAGCTGTCATACACTGCATGGGTTGTCAGTTATTTGTCAACTGTTAGCTAAGTGAACTCCTTTCACTGATAATGACAGCGAGCTAATGTTAGATAACTCACGCTATGCTAGCAACACAGCCAAGTTTTAGCAAGTATGTTAACAACCTTAAATAAGGGCTGCCTGGCGTTACTAGTCAGCTAACTGTGCACTTGACCAAATAAGTCCACAAGATAATTAAATATCGGATATTAATTTTAACTTTTTAACAGATGAGCTAACTTTTACCATACCTACGTTAGCTAGCGGTTAAGCTAGCGTGTTAAGCTAACGGCTCCCGTCTTTTAACGGGCAACGGTCCTGGCAGGGTGTGAAAAGTCAAAGGTCACTGTGTCTCAGCGAGAAACCACAAAACAAAATTAAAAGCTTTATTTTTATTAGTAATTTTTGCTTTGGTTTGGGGTCTTCAGTACAAAAAATATAAAAACAAGCATATGGAAGTATTGCTTTTTTTATTAGAGTCAAAACAATTAGCTAGTTGATTAACTATAGCTAGCTAACATCAGAAAAATATTTGAGAACCATTTTGATAAGTTGATAAGTTTGAAGTAATGTTGAGTTAGTATACCTGCTTAAGTATTTTCTAAAATTTGAGGATCTGCTGCCTTTCTTTGCTTTACATTGTCAATAAATTTGTATTGACTGTTTGTCAGATAAAGCAAGTTATTTAGAAACACCTTACCACAAATGAATGCGCTCATGCAAATGCATTTGTGCGTTCAGTGTTTTATATACTTTTTATTAAAACATCTATACTGTTAACATATATATATATATATAGCCTTATAAACCAACATAACTAACATTTGTTTTGTAGTATTAAGGCAGTTTATTAAGCTTCAGGATATATGATTTGCTTGCCTGAAATAATTAGAACATATGAATGTGATACCATTTAGGAAAAATCCAAAGGTTAGCTTTTGCATCTACAGAAACAGACCAACATTTATTCATTTTAAGCCATTATTGTTGACGTTTGATTAGCCAAATGTATTGAGCAACATGTAAATGTTTTATTACTTGTTAATACATTTCAAACTTTAGCATAAGTCACTCTTTGACATGCATGACATGACACATTTTGTTAAAGTTTTTAGTAACCAATAAAGTAAATATTTCACATTGACATCTTCAGAAAACTAGAAAGAACTTTGTTTGCATGACAAAGAAGATGACAATGTCCACCTAATTCTGTCAGTCTACCCTGTCACTTCTACCATATCCTGAGGGAGAGTTTGTGTAACATATCTTATCCTGTCCTGTCCAAACATTTTTAGTTTAATTTATACTCATAACTTAAATGTAGTTTAAAGCGATCATTGTTTCATATGAATCGGGACATCATCCTCTCCTTATTATTACTACCCTCTAAACACTTGACGTTCACAGACTGAATCAATACATTTGTAATGATCTCACAGTGTCATCTTCTTATCTACTCATTTACATCAAGTTGAATCATACTCAGCGCTGACTGTTAGTGACTCAGCATTTTTATTTTTATTGTCAGTTGCGACAGTACAAACTTTCATGTCGTGTAACACACGTATCCTGGAGCGTTGGGGGTCACTCTCTGTTCCTGCTTCCTTCACTATCTTTGAGTCGGCTAATTTTCATTATGCAAATCAGTTAAGCAAATGTGGTCCAGTTCAACTTCTCAATCAAATCTACAAACGACACCCACTCACACCACCATAACATGGGCTAACCCTACTATGAATCTCTCTAACACACACACCGAAACACGTCGGCCATTTCTGTTGAATGAGATTTGAAACATGGAGACAGATTTAAGTATTTCAACACCAACACTTGTAAAGGCTTTTTTTTTTTTATTACCATAGTGACCGAAAATACTATAATACATGTTCAAATTCATTCTACTTTTTATAATAGTAGCAGTCCCTGAGTGTCAAGGACTACACCACAAAAGTGAAGACTTAATTGCAGTGAGTCTTTAATTAGTTGAGGCTAGACTGCCTAAAGACTTGATCTGAGTTGAGACCTAGAAAAACTAGAAAAGACATAAGACAGCAACAGGTAGGTCTCACATAGCCGCATAGGCCATTTTAATGGTCAGTATCTAGGAACCTGAAAGACTTGTCTTCATTGTGCTTATGAAGACCAGTGACTGACTTGTCTTTAAGGACTTGAGACTTACTTTGGTAAGACTTGACATTTGATTTGGACTCACCTAAACTGTCTTGATACTTAGACCTGCCCGATGAAACTTAAAACAGCTCTGCTATTTAGGTCTTTATTGTATAAATATGAATACAATTAGAGGACAGTATAAATATATCTAGGGTTGGGTTTTGAATCCCTATGAAAAAACGTTGTCTACATAGGGCTCCTGAAATGGTACCAAAATCTTCAGTCAAATCTGCTAATTTCTATGATACTTTCTATCCATTACATTTCATAGAAAAATATTGTATTATAAAATGTATTAAAATATTGTCATTTTTACTAGCAGCATGGCTCTAGTGAAGTCACTGCTGGCCGGTTGGTCAGTCACTTTGGTCCAGACTGAAACATCTCAAAAGTATTTGAATAATTTGCATAATGATTATTATTATTACATTTTGATGAACCTATTTATGTAGTTATTGAAAAAAAGTTTTGAATTCAGAAATATTGTTACGCTTGGTTTTACTACTAAAGGAGTATTGCCTCCACCCCAAACAGCCGGTCCTTTTTGCAAGTATTCTGTCTGACATGTTCAACAGTTGGTTCATTAGAAATTAAAGTGGACAGCGACGACTGGAGCAGGTCACGTGACACATCCGGTCGCGCCCCCGCAGACCAATAAGCGGCCGGGCGGCATCGCTCGAGCGTCGGGAGCGCGCTGCGGGGTCTAGCGTGTACAACTGGCGTGTGCGCTTCTCTCTCGTCAGTTACCCGCTGTTTGAATGCGATGAGATGTCTTCACGCATCCCGTGTGCCGTAACGAAGGACGGGGTTTTCCATTTGCGCGGTTTGGACTTCAGCTAAAGGGCTAATTAACGGACGTACCAGCTTTCCATTGTCCCTCTTTTTGGCTGCATGAGCGGCTCGTGGAGGACTGACAGGCGGCTTTTTGTGTGTGTATGTGTGGCATGTGATAATACTGACAAGAGACTGAGGCGTGTTCATATTTCACGGATGTTACCGGGAGAGGAAGAGAGTGAAGAGGAGGCTTTCTTTATGTCCGTGGATGTGACTTTATCAGGGCTCAGCAGGACATGACGGAGGAGCGCTGCCGGTGGATTTAGTGGTGCTCTTGCTAGCTGTTGCATGGCAAAATGAACAATGACTCTGGAGCTTAATAGTTGTGTGTGCTCGCTGTTGTGCGAATGTCTTTTTTTTTAAAAACGAGCAGACAGTGCACTCATTTTAATCTTTTGTGAAGTAAAGGCTAACGTTGGACACATTGAAACGGGCAGGGAGTAACATTTCAGGCGCGGCCAGGCAAGCAACAAAGCGGATTACTCTTGTGTGTTTGCCTTTGTGTCAGTTGACTGTATAAAGTTGAAACCGCACTCGCAGGACAAACAGCCGGTCCTTTTTGCAGTATCATTTTTATGTTATTGTCTTGGAAGAGAGACAGTACGTGACGTGTGGGACCACAGGTTGTCTGTGAGACTGCAAACTGACTGAAAACAGAGTAACAGGGACAACGATGGCGAACGACTCTATACAAGTAAGTTGATGAAGTTTGATGTCCTGCAAACTGCATGAATGGTCTAATTGAGCTTGTCTGTGTTCACCTGCAATCTTTTTCGTTCTAGGGTAGTCCTGTGACTCTAACTCTTTTTGTCACCCTGCCCCGTTGAAAGAATACTTTAATTCAGTGGTTCCCATCATTTCTTGTGCATGAGATAAAACATAACATGGCAGTAGTTGTGAGCAGTTCGACCAAATAGTGATTTTTTTTTTTTTTTTTTACTTCTCAGATTTGACCTGGCAAGATTTTTAGAGGCTGTAGAGGTAAAAGTAGTTAATAAGCAAAAAAAAAAAAAAGATTTATCTTGTGTCCCGACCCACAAGTTGGGAACTGCTGGTTTAAACCATATAAAATAGAATTGGGTGAAATGTCCATAAGGCAACAAGTTTGTATTAAGTTTGTAATACAGCTTACATTACTGTACGATAATGTAACCTCAGTGGGGAGATTCAGACAACTTAACAGGGCTGCCTGTTTAGGAGGGTCGAATGTTCCTGATTTCCTGGGGGGGGGGGGGCTCTCTGCAGGCTTCTCAGGGACCTTTTGATGGCCCTTGGACCCCACTGTGTGGAACCACTAGCCACTCAGTTGAATTGGAAGCGGATAGTTTGTCTCTTGTTAATAATGTATGATGAGACACTTTCTAGTTTTGGAGCGGGTTCGTGCAGAGAGCTCCAGCAGTGCAAGTCACCTTGGTGTGGTCTTGTATTTGCAGTGATGTTGGTCCCCTGGTGTTAACTGTAGCTTTGTGTCTTAGCAGTGGTGTTTGTTATAAAACACATTACACACACTACTCCCAACTCCCATTAGGCAGTACTCCTTAATGAAAGCATTGGCAGGCAGGGAGACGGCTTACTTTGCGTTTCACTGGGAATAGTTGTGCTCTGAAGGAAAACACACAATTTCCTGACGTAGTTTATAGACAATATGTTGATAGATCTTTGAGTCACTAAACATAAAGTGAAACTTTCACGTAAAACGCTTGCCTGACATTTATTATGAAATTCTTCAGTTCTGAGGAGGCAGGTGAGCATTATGATATGTAAGATATACTTTTATTGTCTCCAAAGGGTAATTTGTTTCGGGCCATTCTGCAGCTTCGCAAAAACAACACAAATAACAATAAAATAGACTTCTCTTAGCACACACTCTACCATGCAACACAACACGTGCTCTCCTACACATAAGACAGATACCTAAAAAAAAATATATATATATATATATACACACACACATTCACTACTACTGAACTTGGTGAGCTGTTCTTCCTATAGAGCATGAAACACTGACATTTAAGTCTAAGCAAGCGTCTTGGGTGAGTTGACGTGTTTACAAATACAGGTGCCTGCGCTGCCATGCAGGTGTATATGCCTTACCAGTTTGTTGTGCAATCATACTTTCTTGCACTTTAGCAAGGAAGTACTGGCAGTGAAACATGTTAGCATTGATATACCCTGTTAGTAGAAGTAGCCGAGTGAGGAACAGGTGCGTGTCAAAACGTAGATGTGGAACAGATATAAGAATTGTTTTTAAGCTGACTAAGAACATACAAGTAAAAAATGGCTGGTTCAGTGATGGACGGCTGAAAATGTCACACATACAATCAGTGTTCCACTTTTGTGTTCCTCACGTCATAAAATGCTGACTGAACACAAACAGTCCTTGTTTGCCCACTTCTCCTCCATCAACCATTTCACCTTTTCTACTGCATCATGAATGAGCATGATGGGATGTAACATTTTAGAGCTGAAATAATTCGTCAGTTAATGGATTAGTCGACCAACAGAAAGGAACTCGGCAGCTATTTTGAAAAGTGAAAAATTGTTGAACAACCGATTACCCAAGAAAATAATCTGCAGACTTGTTAATAAAAAAAAAATTCATCATTACTTGCCGCCGGATAACATTTATCTTTGAAATGTCTCTGTACACATGGTCCCTGTCTTCACTGACTGCTCTTTATCAGTTTTTTTCCTCTTTAATTTGCCTCAAGAAGTCATGAATGCTAGCACGTGTCAACAGTAAAATGAGCCGCAGTCTGTGTTTAATTATGCTGCTTAAATGCAGCATGTTATCTGACTGCTTTTCAAAAGCTTTGTGCTGGCTTAGTTTGCCACTTCAACCGGGTTTAATTCTATCTTTGGTGCCTTAATGTTCCCAGGCTAGACTGCTCAGTTACTAAACAGATGTGCCTTTGTGTCAGAAATATTCATATGGGAGAATGGGTTGGAAAGTGTGTGTCAAACAGATGCAACAAATATGTTGCTCGTTTGCCAGGTCCAGTGACCAGTGTGAGAGATGGGTCATTAATTGAAAGGCGATCAACCAATGAAGCTGGATCTTCTCACTGTTAATCTGCTCACACCACGTAATCACACAGCTGCAGCCCAAAAGAGCTTTTGGTGATGTCTTTTTCCACAAAAATACAAACTGCAATCATCAGTATACAAACAGCAGTACCAAGGCACTTAAAAGCAGTTCTGACATTTCAATTCCAGACAGAGTGCTGCTTCTGTTTGTTTTGGCCCTCAGGAGGTTCACAATAGTGAAGAAGGGCCAAGGAAAGATGGTTGGCTGCTGTTTGAGAACACTGGACACCATTATCTCTGTCTTTGTCTCCACATTACCTTTCCTATTAGCTCAGAAACGGGAGCAAACAACAACACAGTTTTTCACAGGGAATCTTTAAAAGCACAAGTTGAATTTTGCTGTAGTTTGAGATGATGCTATAACACTTATGGGATGCTTTGTTTCAGCCTGGAAATCTGTTCTGAGGTGTCAAATCTTGCCTTGAAACCCGGACTCAACAGATGGAGTCAGGGGTGGTCTCCATGTAGTTCGTTCTTCTGAGTATTTTGTGTCATGCTCTACAGTAACAACAATTCAGACTCCATTTTATAGGTTTAAAGGACTACAGATCTAGATGAATACTTTCAAAAGAGTGTTTTCCTTCTTTTTAAACAAGCTAGGTGTGGGTCTATGAGACTGTGTCTGCTGTTGCATTTTCACATCCAAACTTAACATTGGCCTGCTCAGGAACAGCCATTGTATCCGTTCTTTGACATTTTCAAGTTGAACCTGTAGAAGACTGTAGACTGATCAATACGACTGTAACTGAGATATTATTTTATGCATTCTTTTTGAAGAGTTAGCTTTACTGATGCCAACCTCAAATGGCCATTTGAGTAACTTCAGTTTTTGGCACTTCCCTTTTGGCTTTCTATTTTATTTGGTTGCCACATGGTCCCAACCAACGCTGACTCAAGTGTAGGACTGGGCGATATGGCCAAAAATGTTATCACGATAAAAACATTTCATATCATCTGATATTGATAAATCACAATACATGTCAAATCATTATTTCTGATTTTTGCTCCTGAGTGAAAATCGAAGAAACCACATGGTTAATTGCGTGGTTAAACTTTTCTTTAGGGTCAGAATGTGACAAACTCTTGATGCCAAACAGTGGATCACTTCACAAGTCTGACGTAGAACATTCACAACAATTATTATGATAAAATCTTTTTCAACAAATATGATTAGTAAATTTTTTTTTTTCAGAACCTTTTCCTCAACAAATATTTTAATAGAAAAATTAAATGCTAATTTGTCCGTGATTCAAATTAAACCAAGTATTTATTGACGATATATTGAACATTTGTTATATTGTCATTGAGGAAAATTATATTGCGATAACTGTCATTGTTTTATTGCCCAGCCCAACTCAAGTGACATAACTTGAGGCAGTTTATCAGGTTTAGTGCAACTCCCACAAAAGGCTTTATATAACATTGTGCATTAGTGTTCTGACACCTGTAAAGCCTAGTTCACACTACACGATTTTAAGCCCGATTTGCCAGTCGCCGGCTCGCCTACTGTCGGACTATGATCGGGGCAAATCAGCGATCAATCAGCACTCGCCAATCGTGTGAACTACTCAATGACGCATCGCTGTCACCAGCTATCTATCTATCTACTTCCAACTCTCTCTGTAGCACACCTGCGTGTGCTAATAAATTCTTTCACCTATATTGTTTGTCTTTATAATTTTTATGTCTAAAATAATAAACAACCACTGTTTCGTGTGTAGTTTTGCATCATTTCCTGTGTCACTTTTCACGTGGTTTGGAGACCAGTCATCGGGTCGTTGTCAGATCGCTTAGTGTGTGACCCTGTATCGCTGCTCACTCACGTAGTGTGAACACTAGGGCTGCAGCTAACGATGAAGCTTCTATAGATTATTTCAACAATTCACCCGAGTGCTATACAAGTTGTAGGCTGCTAAAGGCTCGTGCAGACTACACGACTTTCAGCATGACTGATCGGTGACAGGGGGTCACACACGCTACACGAGCTGACAGCGGCTCTGTCACCCGACGCTGGTCTCCAAACCATGTTTTGTCAAGAAAACACACATGAAATGTAAAACAGGAAATGAGCGATCTGCACACGAAACAGCTGTTTCAAGACAAAGAATATGGGTGAACGGATGGATTAGCACACGCAGGTAGCAGGGATTGTCTGATGGTGCGTTCCAGTTGACATGGGAAGTCGGTATTTCCGAGTTCAAAGGTCAAAATTTCAAAGGGAACGCCCCCTTAAGTCAGAATCCCGACTTGGGAAGTTGGGGTATCAACAGTTAGTGAAAGCTGTTCGCTATTTTCTCTCTTCCTCCACTTTGCAAACAGCGCCATTATAATCACGTGTTCATAGCGTAAGCGCGATGTGCGACAGTAATAAATGTCCGTGTGAAACAGTGTGCTATATAGTTATATGGATTAAACGAAGCCTGGATGCAAAGAATTTGCTTCGATGCATTTTAGTAATCGATAAATCGTTTCAGCCCTAGTGAACACCACGACTTCAAGACTCCCGTCACTAGACAGCAAGTTGTGTAGTCTGAGCAGCACAGCGATCTGCCAACGCTGAAAGTGGTGTAGTCTGCACAAGCCTTAGACAGACTTTTGATGTGTAAA